ATTTTCTTCCCGTAGACTGTAATCTCTACTTCAAAAATTAATCATGGCCATAACCATCCTTGAAGTTAAAGATATCTACATCACATCGCACATTACAAATTAATTTTCACTTTACAATATTGAAGATAAGATTTTCTAACAATCAATGACTTTTTCTTGGTTGAAACCTATTGTGTCTGTGGAGGAAAAACAGTCTGACCGGAGACAGCAGTGATGAGTACCGAGAAGCTGGACGGGGCAAGATGAAATCTGGTAATTAATCCATCACGGTCTCATTGGAATACAATCAAGTTAGGAACTTACTTGTAGTGTACCAGGTTGGATTGACCTTTCTTAAAGTAAAAAAATTAATATTCTATGAACCTGGATTTATGAATTGAACAGTTTCCATACGAATGCAACTAAAAACTACAAATGTATTTTCTTGGAAGATAAAATCCCCAGAATTATACAGATAGACACTGAATGAGTGAGAGTCACAAAGAGATTTATAGGAGGTCTACAGTGATAAACAAACAACAAACACGCCATATCCTCCGGAACACTCAGAATACCACTGTCATGATAAAAAAGAGAATTAGTCACTTGTCCTTATCACCATGTGAGGGTCCAGGGCCACGCCCTCTGTCCTGAGTGATGATTTATACCCCAACCTCCGACAGCCTCTCACATCTCCATTCACACACCCAGTGTACACACAGACCCTCCACTCCACATAGCTGGCAAGGGACTGTCACACTGACAAAAGGAGCTCTCCGACACTCAACACAAATAAAAAAGCAAACATATATCCCCGTGTTATGGGTTTTCAGACGCTCAAGAAACATTCATAGTTTCCTCACTAATAATAAATCAAACATATACATATTACACATATTACCCATGAGATTGCTGAGCAAATGCCAACGAGAGTATCTTTTAGAAAATATTTAGATACCGACAAAAAAGAAAGAACTGAAAACGAATGAGAATCCTCAGACTATTTGTTGCCTACTGAGTGGATGTTTTTTCGCCTAAACAAAGCTACAGAGACCCATCTGGCAGGTAGCAGATCTTTTGGCCAGGTTTGAATCCAATGTTTGGTCGGGAGCTTCATGACTCACGGACGTGCTACACATCCATGGTGTACCTCCGCCTACATTTGTCTCTCCACAGCAGTGTCGGTACACACTGTCATCATGCTTAACAGATTAAGCCTGTGAAAACTGTAATGTTGCAATAGTAATCTGGTCAAACGTGTACACCGAACATATTTAGTGAACAGTATGATTCATAACCCTCCCCGGGGGATTCAGAATTTGATTGGGGAGTTACCCATCTCAAAAGGAAGGAGACACACTATCAAGTGAAGTGAAGTGACATTTGCCGAGTTTGAATGTGGATTATAATAAGTCTTCTTGTTGGCACACTTCCAAATTCCAAATGGCATGACAGAAATCTTTGTACGTGCCCTGCAGCGCGCTTTATACAAACAGCATTTAGCATATTTAGTGAATCTATGAATTTATACCGCAAACATCCTGTGGAGACACACAGTGAGTGAATATGGTTCTACGCCGCTTTTAGCAATATTCCAGCATGTCGGGAATCGAACCCGGGTCTTCGGCCTGACGAGCGAAAGTCTTAACCACTAGGCTACCCGACCGCCCCAGTAGACACACAGAGTGACAGACAGAAGAGAAGTGACGTACAGTAGAGAAGTGACGTACAGTAGAGAAGTGACGTACAGTAGAGAAGTGACGTACAGAAGAGAGGTGACGTACAGTAGAGAAGTGACGTACAGTAGAGAAGTGACGTACAGTAGAGAAGTGACGTACAGTGAGAAGCGACGTACAGAAGAGAAGTGACGTACAGTAGAGAAGTGACGTACAGTAGAGAAGTGGCGTACAGTAGAGAAGTGACGTAGAGAGGTGACGTACAGTAGAGAGGTGACGTACAGTAGAGAAGTGACGTACAGTAGAGAGGTGACGTACAGTAGAGAAGTGACGTACAGTAGAGAGGTGACGTACAGTAGAGAAGTGACGTACAGTAGAGAAGTGACGTACAGTAGAGAAGTGACGTACAGAAGAGAGGTGACATACAGTAGAGAAGTGACGTACAGTAGAGAAGTGACGTACAGTAGAGAAGTGACGTACAGTAGAGAAGTGACGTACAGTAGAGAGGTGACGTACAGTAGAGAAGTGACGTACAGTAGAGAGGTGACGTACAGTAGAGAGGTGACATACAGTAGAGAGGTGACGTACAGTAGAGAAGTGACGTACAGTAGAGAGGTGACGTACAGTAGAGAGGTGACGTACAGAAGAGAAGTGACGTACAGTAGAGAAGTTACTTACAGTAGAGAAGTGACTACAGTAGAGAAGTGACGTACAGTAGAGAGGTTACGTACAGTAGAGAAGTGACGTACAGTAGAGAAGTGACGTACAGTAGAGAGGTGACGTACAGTAGAGAGGTGACGTACAGTAGAGAAGTGACGTACAGTAGAGAAGTTACGTACAGTAGAGAAGTGACTACAGTAGAGAAGTGACGTACAGTAGAGAGGTTACGTACAGTAGAGAGGTGACTACAGTAGAGAAGTGACGTACAGTAGAGAAGTGACGTACAGTAGAGAGGTGACGTACAGTAGAGAGGTGACGTACAGTAGAGAAGTGACGTTCAGTAGAGAAGTGACGTACAGTAGAGAGGTGACGTACAGTAGAGAGGTGACGTTCAGTAGAGAGGTGACGTACAGTAGAGAAGTGATGTACAGTAGAGAAGGTAGTATGATATTGGAGACCTGACACCCTAGGACTGGGACTACCTGGGTAGCCACCCCATATTACCCGACCCTCCCCGGGTACCCGCTGTAGGTCTCAAGAGGTAGGTACAAACTGTCTGATTAGGAAAAGTTTGACCGTAGCCCTGGGAAAATGTATTTAGATACACATATAAAATGATCTGGAGTATACACTGAAGTTGACTGAAGTTTTAGTTTTATTCAAACATATAAAAGTCAGAAGGAATGGGCATAGGAAGAACTGCGAACATTAGTGACTTGTAGTTTAAACATAGAGTTCTAGATAATGTTTTCATTAAACAACACACCACGTGACTAACCACGGATCCGGGTAGTCCTGTGGGTACCCTGGTCCTACTCAGAACCCACCTGACCACAGCTACATGTGAGGGAGGGAGATTTTAATTGCCCAGCTGTTACCATGGTTACATACTAACCATGACAACAAAATGCAGAATATTCAAGTTCCATAACAAGAATTCTTTATGCAAACACATTCATCATCATCAAACTAACAGCTTGCCACACACATTAAGGTAAACCCTACCATTCTGTGAGTAATTGTGACATAAAAGGCCTGTATGTGCTTCATGTACTGATGCCTACATACATGGCACGATTCCATATGCCCTAAACAGTTGCTTGGCAACAAGAAAAAAACAATAGCGCATTAACATTCTTGGGCAGTGTGAGTGTATTGTCTACATAACGGGTCCCACTTTACACTGGACCACTTCACTACAGAGGATAAATACAAGTCATTTCATTCCAACTCTGTGTCACTAAGTACAATTTGAAAAAAAACAACTAAAATATGTTTTGAATTTGAATTAAAAGATTCATCTTTTTCCTTAATACTTTCAGTCTAGCACAGTTACAGTTTCCATGAGGAAGTGGCAATCATGATGTATCGTCAACTGATCATATAGTGAAATATGAATAAACTGGACCTTGACTTTGTGACTCTTACAACAAATCATGCATAGGTCGACATCTCTTGTAATGAACAGAATATCTTTTTCCTGGAGAAGAAGAGACCAACTTGTCAACATTGATCTTAGACTGGACTAAATATGTTTATTGTAAACTTGTGGAATAAATCTTTCTATTTCTGTTGAAGTATTGACGATTTAGATGTTGTCAATAATCAGTCACCAGAATGCAGGTCACCCCCACCGCACCGTCCCTTAGCATTCCCCACCCAACACCCCTAGACATCGACATTAGGGGTGTCACAATACAGGTACCTCACGATACGTACCTCGATTTTGAGGTCAAGATACAATACGCATCTCGATACAGCAATACCGATCCTTTATGTGTAAATTTAGAAGCAAACTTATTAATTACATATCACATTCACAATTATGTGTTCTAATCACTATCAGTAGATTAATTTGAAAAATAATAAAAGTTAGAAAAAGTTTATTCAAACAAGTGTCAGACACTAACAAGTTTTCCTATGCGTCAAATTCAGAAAATATGATGACATATTGAATAGATAAGAAAAAATCAATCAATACGCGAACAAATGGATACCGATTACAATAAAATTTCGTATCAATATAAATTTACATGTATCTCGTATCGTATCATGAGAATTATCTACCGATGCATCGGTACAATCGGTGAATCGTGACATCCCTAATCGGTATCCCAGTATTATTGCACTTGCACTGGTCTAATCACTGAACAGTTCTAACAGAATAATCAACAGCTGCACATGCATTGATGCATTGTTGCAGTCCACACTGACACGCCTGGGTGCCTGCACTAACCTTGCATAACACAGTGTTCGGTTGTTTTGCATCTGTGACACAGTTGATACAAGATTTATCAGCAACTTGAATTATAGAGACAGATATTTGAAGCATGTAGTTTTTGCAAATGAAATTTGAAGTTGAAAGTTTGTAAGCTACTTTTAGATCATGTCTAAAAATCAAAACTTAATGTTTTGAACTCAATGACGCAGGCACTTGAAACTCTCTGCGAATAGACTTAAGCTCCAGGTTCTCAGGCGCTGACACATGATGTCAATGATACGTTTCAGTAGAAAAAGTACATTGACATTGCCTTGATAACACACACTGACCGGCGTGCAACTGACACCATCAGCATCAACACCGACATAGCAACCTACAAACTCCAGCCGATGAAATCGACATCACGCAATACCTGTCACTGAGCTTGTCAAAGTTCATATGAAAATAAACAGTTCAGTGCTTACCGTTAAGGAGTAGATTTAGTCCGTTCCCGCGCAGTGTCGATCTCCCTAACTCCATCGTGGTACAAGAGACGGCGGTGTCTCAGTGTTTATATGTATCCATATCACTGCCGTGGTGTGTCCTGCTTGAAATTACCGCACTCTCTCAGTCTGCACTGGTCGCGCACCTGATACCGCGTGGAGTCCACAATATCTCCTCCGAACGAGAGAGCTCCACAACAAAACCACGTGACCTACAGCAACCGACCGCTAGACTTGCACGGGTCCCACGTGTACCTAATTTGATAGAGCGCTGATATTTCAGTGGTGAATATTATAATTTTGAAATCACATTTCGAATTATGTAACACGGATATATTTTATTCCAAAATACTTAATCACAAACGCAATATGGACGTTCGATTTCATAAGGTCTCTATTAAGAAATATCAATTATATTTTACGAGCGCTTTATTCAATCGTCGCTGTTTGGAATCTGTTTTGTGGAGTGTAATTTGACAGAAACACCCATGTTAAAAAATATGACCAAATACGAAGAAAATAACTCTCGCCGTATTACACTGAATCTCCATCTGTAATTCAGTATTCACACAGGTGATAACTTTGACCTTCATAATACTAAAGTATAGGAACGAATAGTATGATTTATCATACTATATTAGTGTATTATTGGCCTGCGGCCTGTTACTGAATACATTATACCAGCTGCCCGGTCAACTTGGTCCCTCACCTTTCCAACCCCTTAGTGGCACGTGACTAGACACCTTATTTGTGTAAGCTAATAGACGGTCGGTGATTTTCCGCCGCTGTGAATTTATCGTCAGAACAGACGTGCATGGCGTGTTGTGACGTAGATGACGTCACGTCAAACAGCTGATTTAATGTTGTGGTCGTATAATGGATACACGTGGTTTCAGGTTCCTAATACTAATATTCTCTTGGACAGAACTGACCTGAACTTGAATATCGACCCAGTACATCATGACTGGGACGATCTACTCGGCGACCGAGGAGTAAAAGAAACCGATTATCGATTTAAAACAACCTTAGAATATGGCGCTGTTTTCTAATTTTGGTATGTTGACATATTTTTCATATATTTTTGAAAGCGTAACGAGCAAAATATTTAACATATAGTTGAGTAAGTGCATGGAATGTTTTACAGTGAGAATAAAGTTGTCAAAATGGCTCCAAGATTAAACAGCCTTTTCAATATGTTAGACACACATTAGAATCTCGAATGGTTCAGTTCATAACATAAATAGTATCTACACTCGATATATAGATCATCGATTTCTGAATGACAAAATGTTTTCATTGTAAATGTGATTTCTTTTTGATGTTTTAAATAGTTTTCATTATATTTTTTTACCCTGCATTATCTTAATTATCAAATACTTCGACCAGTGCCATCTTGTTTTCCTACGTATTTAGTAGTATATGATTTGTTTTGTATCCTTAATAAAAATAGAATTTGTAAAAATAAATCTCGTCTAAGAGCAAGATGAATGCATTTTTGTGTTTATTTAGATGGGTTTATCCACAAGTATAAATCATATATGATCCCTCCATGCTGTAGTTTAGCTAAGCCAAAAGGAAAAAATATAATTAATGAAATTCATTAATGTCAACGATTTTGCTAGTTTTATTTTCGTAGTTCAATACCAAAATCCTATTTTATAGTCTGCTATTCTTTTTATGACAAATAATTCCTTAGTGGGAAACTTTACCGAAATAAACTATCCCGTATGTCTTAAAATGCACACACACACACACACACACGCACACACACGCACGCACGCACGCACGCACACACACACACACACACACACATCCAATAATATCTTGACGTGTGAATAATACCTTAATCTACAAGAATGTATATGTATATGTATATACCAAAGGGTAAATACAATTCTAAAGTCGCTATAATAAAATAATTATGAAAGAAAGAGTTTTATTTCATGGACAGGCCATACAAGTATGTTTTGAGCAAATACAAGATAAGACGAGGACGTATATTTCCTTGTGGTAATTTTGACACGAATTTGTGCACATTTGTGAGCATATGAGTAATTGATATTTTCTGAACTTTCTCTTCCATTTAGTCTAGATATTACTAAACAACAATAATATTTCCTCCTTAAACCTGCGCAAGTTGTCGTTTCCTTGTATTAAATGTGGCCTACTCTACACTTCTTGAGATTTCAAATTCAAATATTAAAATTGTCCAGTCATATCACATTTCAAGCTTTTAATAAACAATTGATGTAAACCATTAACAACACATTATCACATCTAAAATATAAATAAGCGGCCTGTGCGATTTGCGATGCTCGTATTATGGCGCCCGAGTTACCAGTGATCGAAAATAGGTTTGCTGAATAGATTTCATCCCCCGTGATCGTGTACGGCGGGTGGACTTTCCCCAGGGAAGTGAACGCTTTCCTCTGCGAGAGGTCAGTTTGCAAAATCGTTTCAGTGCAGCATGTTATAAAAACATTGATTCTTGATTCAGATTCTTGAACCCCAAATGGACAACACATTGTCAACAACATAATTATACGTATTCACTCTTATAATCAGAATGATTCTGTCAAAGAGTTCGGGCACACCCGTGAGACACACTTCTGCATAGCAAGTTGACCCCCCAGGCCTTGCCCTCGACAATACTGTCCGACTTTTTTGACGGCTAACAATAGTTTAGCCTCCGTGGTCCAGTAGGTGCAGCGTCTGTTCGGCGAGCGGAAGGTCGATGGTCTGATCCCCGGCCGCGTCATACTAAAATACGTGAAACGATGATACTAGATACCCTCCACGGCACTAGGCATTAAGGGGATAAAACAAGGAATGGTCAGACGCACACGCATGCACACACGCACGCACGCGCACTTGTGACGTGAAACCCCATTTCACCACACCTCCAATTATTTTAACAGGATTTTCCAACACCTCAAATCGGAGGGTCATTATGACCCTGAAGAACCTAGTACCCCAGGTATATGGTATACCTTGCAGCAGGACACAGTAGCAATGATATGTTTCAATAGTACGTAGAAATAGATATCCTAACAACTGTTGCAATATTCAGTCCAAAACAAGATAAATGGTCATATTTGGATAAACAAACTTTGTTCATCAAAATTCCAGCAAAAGATATATTGCGTAGTACAAATTGTATTTCATATCCCTCTAAAAAAAATCCCTCGTGCTTAAATCCGTGAAATAACCGCCATGCGAGTTTCTCGATATTCAGGATCTATTGACTAACTCTCCAGTCTGTTGTGATAAATATATATCTTTAAAAAGTTGGGGACTCTCGGAAATAACTTAAAATGTCCACAATTGTAACAGATATAGTTGTAGTCGTATGATAATAATGAACGAAGTGGAAACACATTACGACCGGTAGTGACGTATGACAGTAGATTATGTGACCGCCAACGATCTTGAAGGACTATAGCGGTAAGATGGAACATTTCAGAGTTGGCTAATTTGGATCAGTAGTGCGAAATACCGCGATTTGTCAAACATTTATGAATTCACTCGACGAGGCATACTGCGTATAAGTCTGCCAATTTGGAGAATTGGGGGAGTCTGTCCCACTCCTCATGGAGCGCCTGGGTAAGTTCGGCCATCGTGGTCGGCGGCCTAAGACGTTGACGTACACGTCTCCCTATCATGTCCCAGACGTGTTCAGTGATAGAAAGGTCGGGGCTCATTGCTGGCCATGGCATTCTGTGGATGTTCTGTGCTGTTTGAGATGGGCATTGACGATTCGTACACGGTGAACACGGGCGTTGTCGTCCTGAAAGACAAAACGTCGACTCACACGCCTTGCAAATGGCACAACATAGAGTCATAGTGATGCCACCCCACACCATATCCGATCCACCGCCAAATCTGTCATGAGGTCTCAGGTTGACATTGACCTGACGTTCATTTCGACGTCGCCAGACACGACCACGCCCATCAAGGAAGTACAAAGTGATTCGGGACTCACCTGAAAACATGACACGTGACCAGCGACGATTATCCTAGTTTCGACGTTGTGTACACCAATGACGTCCGTTGGCAGTGTGACGATTTGAAAGGGGCGGCAAAACACGTGGCCGTCGAGCGAGGAGAAGAACTGCACGTAGGCGATTTCTAATTCGTACTGCAGTAGCCTGATGAAAGTTTGCAGCAATTTGATTCGCCACGTTTTAGCTCGATGTCGTAGAGCCTGGTTACGGATCAATCCTGTATTATTGTCGCTGACCTGGGACGCCCTAAACGGGTTCGATCGTCAACATTTTGGGTTTGTGGGCACCTGTTCCATAGTTTGCTAATCACAGACTGTGAAACATTGAACGTATTGGCGCTGACTACCAGCATGCCAACAGCCCGTAGGCGCTCAGTGCGTTACAGACGCCGCATACACAAACCGCCGCATACAGTTCATATACAAACAATGACTGAAATCAAGTAAATCACATCTGTATGTGCAGAATCAAAATATTTGCAGACATAATGGTCCACAAAGACTAATCGACCTTCCTTGAAGGTTTCAAAGTCAGGAATGCCACCCAAACGCACGTGTGCGGCGCCACTGCTTACGGCACGTGCAAGATATGGGATGTGTTTTGGTGTGAAGTTTTACAGACATTAACGTTCTTTCATAGGATGTTTGTCGTCAACACTTTTCTTTGTTCTAATACTTGGTATTAACATTTATAGTACATGATCCCCTACTTTTTAAAGAGTATATACGCATATGCGTCTCATGATGGACTGGAGACATGATCTTATGAGACCCGTAAAATACCCGGGGTAGAATTGGTCTTCATCAACCCATGCTTGCCGTAAAATGCGACTATGCTTGTCGTAAGAGGCGACTAACGGGATCGGGTGGTCAGGCTCGCTGACTAGGTTGATGCATGTCATCGATCCCAACTGTGTGGATCGATGCTCATGATGTCAATCACTGGATTGTCTGGTCCAGACGCAATTACGTACAGACCGCCGTCATATAGCTGGGATATTGCTGAGTGAGGCGTAAAACAACCAACCAACCAAACCAAACATGATCTATGATGGACTTGAGGCTGGTTACCAAGACACGAGAAGCCAGGGGTTACTGATGGAGATTTTACGAATGTTTTGTTAAAGTCAGTAAACTAGCTATAGACTCAGGTGACAAGAAGCATTTGGTTTGTCGCGCATCCCATTGTTCAGCTTCATCGGGTGCGAGCGGAAGACAAGAACAATAAGATAAACAAACTGCTCTCGACTGAGAAATCAAGTGGTATGTTGACTGTTGTTTAAGATATGCGCAAACGGTTGAAGTTTCATCGTTAGGCTGAACTGACGGGTAAAATATGCATACAATTGAAAATTGGATTTGGCCCAAAAAAATAATAACAAATTTTATAAAAACGTTACTAGGCTGAATGCCTGGTATCTGTGAACCAACTCACACTGATACCTGCCTCACTCTGCTCATTGCATAACCGCCGAACAACCAATTCTTGCTTTAATTCCTAGCCATCACAAAACATTAGTGTATACTTTATTTTGCTCGTCAGTGTATATTCGAAGTACAAAGGTTGTTGGGCCTGTGTTTGGAGCCTTAAAGAAATTTATTTTGAAATTTATGCCTGTTTTATTGATTTTACAAATGTCTTCGATTCTGTCAAGAGAGAAAAGCTCTGGTATTTATTCAAGAAGAATGGTCTTGGATAAAGTGTCATGATCTATTGGCACAACATGCCTACACCGAAAAATGTAAATACAGAAGTGTCCCTTAAGTGTGCGACAAGGCTGTGGTCTTAGTCCGTTTTTCTTCTCATTTTACATTAATACATTGGTAAATGACATCACGTCCACTTGAACAGATGGTATTCCGTTATTCCCAGATTTACTGGAACTGTTCTCCTTTTTATGCTGATAATGTCCTGTTTTCTGACACTGTTATTGGATTCCAAACACAAATCTATATTTAGAGAATTATTGCGAAACATGGTCTCTTCAAGCAATTACGACAAAACAAGAATTGTTGTATAATCTTCAAAAAAAGAAACGCAAAGCCGGACTTGTGTGAGGTAGGAAAACACATTTATACGAGGAGCCGTACAAGGTCTGGAGCCAAAATGTTGTGGAGAAAACACTTGGTGATTGTAGTCATCTCAGTTATCGGTACATAGGAAAAATCCAAGGCGAGTTTCAGTTACCATTAATAACGCGTTTGTCCCCCGATGGAATCGATAGCGGCCTGACATCTCCTGCCCATGGAAGAGACGAGTATGCGAATCACATCCTGGGGAATGGTAGTCCAATCGGCCGGCAACGCAAAAGCCAAATGCTGCAACGTCTGGCGTTGTGGTTGACGTCGGCGTAGCCGTCTATCCAATTCATCACACATGTGCTCTATCGGGTTCAAATCCGGGGATCTGGAGGGCCAGGGGAGAACATCAACGTTGTTGTTACGAAGACAGTCTCTGTGATCCGTACTGTATGCGGTCGAGCGTTGTCCTGCTGGAATACACCGTTACTTTTAGCTGCAATTGGGAGGACGTGTGGTAGGAGAATTTCGTTGATGGATCGTTGAGCCGTAAGACTGCCCTGGATACGGACCAAACCTGTCCTGCCATGATGAGGGATAACCTCACCCGGTCTGGTCGGAGATTCTGCGCAGTCCGGGTATTTGGGATGCAGTTGAGGTGGCTGTGGTTGTCCTTTCACGTAGGTGGCGCAGTCGGATGAAGCGATCTTGGGCGGGTGTGGTTACTCTTGGTCGTCCCGACCTTGACCGATCATGTGTTGACCCATGCTGTTGAAACCGATCCCATAGCATTGTGATGGTGCTGGGCGCTACATTGAAAACCCTGGCTACAGCTGATCGGGATTCCCCTGCCTGCAAGCGGCTATGACGTTGTTTCTTTGCACTTCTGTTAATCTTGGCATGTAGTTGAACTGTCACTGTTCGATTGACGCAGATGCCAGGTAATAAAAAACCCTGCACTTTAATACCGTTCATAGCAGCTCCATGGCCCTTTTGTTAATGCACTGGGTGCGTTTTTCCGAATCGTACATGTTTCACGACTAATGGTTTGCATGTCCTTGATCCGGGAATGTTTTCACTGACACTATAACACATTAAACCTCTTCATTTTGCACCTCATGGTCAGCTAATTTTGCTTTTATGGCCACAAATATCCACATTGCGTTCTTTTGTTTGAAGAGTTTGTTTATTAAGGGGGGGCAAACCTTTTGGACAGAAAAGCGGATTTACAAACTTGACCCAATTAAAGTTCATCGTCGTAAACATCTTGCCATGCTATTTTCTAGGAGTCTCACTTGGCAAGCATCGATAAACAATCAGACTAAGCTATACTTAGAAAGTTTTTTATTCAAGTTTGAAATTCTTTTATTTCAACAATATTTCCAAATGGTTGACTTTCTGAGAATAAGGTATACATGTATTGAAAGAATACAGTTACAGTCATTGTCCATTAGGAGATAAACATACTGTGTTTTCATTGTAGAGCTAGGTTACCTGTATTTAACCGCATGATTATCTAAACATGCCTACCGACAATGACTGTAAAAGAAGGACAACTCTGTGGTGATGCAGCCGTCAAATCGGCTGTTTCAATCAGAGGGGTTTATAGCGAACACCCATTCTGTAACATCACCAGCACAATTGTATTGTAGGCAGCACTAATCAGCATGGAAAACGTTTCTCTAACTTTTCAATTAGTGCAAATAGGTTAATACTTAATGGTTGTAGAACTAGTGTTAATGATTGTACGGATGTAACATACGTTGGCTTGTTTTTAAACAGAAGCCCCCAGTAGAGTTCATGAAATCAGAATAAATTAAAAGTCGGCTAGATAATGTTATCAAGAAACTAAAATCCTCAGTTTTCGTGTGTGGATCACTCATCACCCCTGAATCGCTGCCTTGGCCAGTCTCTGAAACTTGACCACAGTCTTCGCTGGGTGAATTTATATCATTATCACCAACTTTTGCGATCATCACTGTATTTTTGCATCTGATACTGACCACTGCTATCATATTGTGTACTGTCATTGAATATTGTACCACCTCTCCATTGTGTACTGTCATTGAATATTGTACCACCTCTCTGTTGTGTACTGCCATTGAATATTGTACCACCTCTCTATTGTGTACTGCCATTGTAATTGCTGTGCAGTAATTTGAGTTGATTTGTGAACTTAGTTAACTTTGTAATACAGTTGTTGATTGTATACCGCTTGTTGGTTGTTTGTTGGTTTCATGCTAAGTTTTTCAGCGTACAGGTTTCTTGGTTAACGTAACGACACGTGACAATATATATATGTGTGTGTGTGTGTGTGTGTGTGTGTGTGTGTGTGTGTGTGTGTGTGTGGATGGACTCCTTCTGCATCACCTTTATTTGTGAATAGCGTGACGTGATTTACACCTGTGTACAGCGGGTGTAACTGAAGTCTACGTAAAATATGTTAAAGCTTGTGTGACCTCGTTACCTGAAGCGGCCGTAAAATCTCGAAAAGCGAGGCCTTAAATACAAGATATTAACAAAATCTGACGAATCTGTACCCAAACGTGTGTGTATTATATCATATCACGCCGTTTGAGTGTTATAGCCTTGGCCCCCAGGGCCCGCTGCTTATTCATGATTTAACATGAAGTCGACAGTGTATGACAATATACATTCTTCCTCAACAGCGTGCGAAGGATTTCAGATTGTCTAGAATTGTAGATCCAGTTCATTTGAACTCCGGATGCTTTCCATCCGTATTATTGGAGCAGTGTGATGATGTTTCATGGTATCACGGAGATTCTCACCCTTGGTCCAGCTGCACGAAGCGATGTTAGCGCTCTCCCCGACTTACGATATCCGGAACACTGCGATTGCTTTGTAAAACGGGGCCCTGTCCTCGTCGTAGGTCAACTGATGGTGTTGCTGCCGAGGTTCGTTCATCTGCAAACATCCTGTCTGGTGGCACTAGGTTAACTTATTGACACTAGTGATGGCACCGATCTCCATGAGTATATCATGCTAACAACTTAATTAATACTACTCTGAACGGGCATCACACACAAGAACCACTTTGGAGTCTCTCAGCTCACAAACTGATACGCTGTAATATAGCTGTAATACTGTACGAAGAGCGTTAAACTCACTCACTCACTCACAGGATACGGGCGATCGGGTAGCCCATTGGTTAAAGCGTTCGCTCGGGTTGGATTCCCGACATGGGTACAATGTGTGAAGCCCATTTCTGGCGTCCCCCGCCGTGATATTGCTGGAATATTGCTAACAGCGACGTAAAACCAAACTCACTCACTCACAGGAAACACACTGCTGGTCACAATATCCACCCTTGGCTAACTCCAGTCCGGAAGCAAAGTTGTCCAGTCGGCTAAGGAACCCGCAATTCGGTGAGTAGAGTTACGTCCCTTCGGCGTGTCAGAGTTATGTGGTCGTCGTTTCGAATCCTAGGTTTGTTTGTTGTTTAACGCCGCACTCAGCAATATTCCAGCTGTATGACGGCGGTCTGTAAATAATCGAATCTGGACCAGATCTTGACCAGCGCTTAACCGGAACTTGATTTCACACTCGGGATCATGTAACCATGGCCACAGCTGCCGCAGACGTGGACAACGATGAACCATGCTAGAATATTATTTTCTGGCTTCATTAATTAAATACGAATCATAGGACTATGAAAATACCATATATCAAAATAACGCAAATCTACCTAACCTAGCCTGATATTTCAATAGCAACAAACTGGGAAACATTCTATCTTGTTTGAACAGGCAAAATGTATTTTTCTTTCATTTTTGACAGTTCTTTAATGGGACTTTAGTAGATAGGCACGTGTTACGTCGAATTGATACCTCTGTCTTTTATTTGAAACTGAATACTCAAACATTCGTTATAATTTGAAACATGGAATATGAAGGTATTTAACAGGCAAACAAAACACAATACTACAGTTGATAAAGCAGACTTTATTAAGAGATTCTAACAACGATAAATGACATGATAAAATATAGTCGGTCTTTCTGTACACTTTTTACAATCGACAGTCCTACAAATATCAAATCCACGCCTCTGTACAACGCAGTTCACGAGGACATTGGCCCCGAATACAACGCAGCTCACGAGGACATTATCCCCGAGTACAACGCAGCTAACGAGTCCATTATCCCCGAGTACAACGCAGTTCACAGGGACATTGTACCCGAATACAACGCAGCTCACAAGAACATTATCCCCGAATACAACGCAGTTCACGAGGACATTATCCCCGAGTACAGCGCAGTTCACGAGGACAATATCCTCGAGTACAACGCAGTTCACAAGAGCATTATCCCCGAGTACAACGCAGTTCACGAGGACATTGTACAAGAATACAACGCAGCTCACGAGGACATTATCCCCGAATACAACGCAGTTCACGAGGACATTATCCCCGAGTACAACGCAGCTCACGAGGGCATTATCCCCGTGTACAACGCAGTTCACGAGGGCATTATCCCCATGTACAACGCAGCTCACGAGGGCGTTGCCTTGCAACATTCACACACCACAGTACAACTAACAAAATAAATATATATGCAAACAAGTGTCCTTCACAATCTACAGCAAACTGAGTGACAAGATACGATCTCCATAAGCACAGTGAATACAGCGTTCTAGTACCGGTCGCAGTGAGTCAGCTCGAGACTCTATACCGTCAGTTATGTTCAACTAAGATTTCAGAACAAATCGCAAACATGTAAGCATAATCCAGGTCTGATTCCGCGACGAATCGTAACCACTCGTCTCTTTCCGTAAACTGATATTCGGCGTGTGGGAAAAAAATATGAATAATATTGGCAGTATACACGCTTTAAAACACACCTCCTTAAACAAATCTAGCAAGTTGGTTGATATAATAAATATCACACCTCAATAGAATACGTCTTTAAGATATATAATCCTCTTCACCAAGTTTAGCTGCAGACTTGGTCCAGTGACAACCGGTGTCGATCCATCATTCGTGCTTTACGGAATGACACGACTTGTCACGAACTGCTCCTACATACACGTCACGTGTGACGGGTTACAACTGTTTCATGAAGTGCGTGCAGGTCAGCACATACAATGACGACGACGTATTGGAATGTCTGTCGTGCGATGTTTGACATGTCAAGTGTGAACCTACATGGCAAGGATTCCGTCGTTTTGTTATCAGTTGGCTCTAATACTAATACACAAATCTGATCGTGAAAACTCGGAATAACTACACTACGCATGTGTGGAAGTGACTGAGTTCTACCCTAACGGGGCAAATATGGTAATGGTAATTTTGCAAATGCCTCATCGACATATTTCGCACATTATAAACACCTAAGTTTCTACTGAGGAGCGATTTAAAATATTAATGACCTTTAATGCGATGTCGAAATCTGGTTCAAAGGGATTTGCAAAATATCTGTCGACGCCCAGTTGGCGGTACACATGATTTGCAATTCCTGCAGTCGACCGAAATATACACGATGAAGTCCATGTTGCTTACGAACCGGATGTCTAGTTCGTGACGCGATTTTGATTGGACTATGCATAGACTCGTTAGTCCGGCCAAAATGTAACTCCGGTATTCCAGTCTAGTTCGGCAAGGGTGGGAACTGGGTTTTTATCGTCAGTTAACGCCTTTGCCTCGGGATGATGCCCCCATACAAGCATACGTCAGTCGTGGCATAGTCGGAGACTGTGTGCACAAAGCGATCTTAGTGTTTTATAGTTGAAGGAGGGAAGGTTACGATAGTCTCACGTTCAGTTTGTGGAAACGAGCCCAGCTCCACCTTGACCAGCAGAGTCCGTTCACTGCTGATATAACCTAGGGAATATCTAACTAACGGAAAGGGACGAGGCGTGCCGATTGGATAACCACGCAACACCTGTGTCCCTAGATACGGGGTAGGGTGTTTCCTAGGGACAAGAATTCATCCACGACAGCCCCCGAAACCTGTGATTTGAAACACGTGATAAATAAAGCCTTGAGATTGACACACAAAACCGATCGTAAATCTCCCACCGTTTCGTCGTGTCAAGAGCCCCATCCACCACAACAACAACGCTATTTGTTATGTACATTTGCGTTTAAAGGGCTAAAATATTGGGCCTGAAATGAAAACCCATTCAAAATTTCTTTTTTAAACTTTTTATAAGCTTTACAACCAGAAGTTTTAATTGTTGACAAAAAGGTCAATCCTGAAGAGACACACTTAAACGCTTACCATAAATCTCTATAAACACTGAATTGCTTGCATCAGTAGTGTTTTGATACGGACTAAAAGTCACACTGAACCAATACTTTTCAACTTAAGGCTTGAACAGGCCCTATACTCTCCCTGTACCACCACACCCTTTCAAACCTGACATTAAATGTAAGCCTTCCAAGGAGATGATAATGAATATGAATTACATATTGATTTAAAAAAGCTTTACACTTATGTCCTCGGGCCATAAAGATAGATCAGATGTTGATTAATTCCAACCGTTATAATATTTGTGTACTGTTATGTTTACCTTCAGCCTCAAAACTAAAACATTCAAGTCACGAGCCACTATTCAGCTGGCGGTGCAGATGTAATTGGCCCATACATGTTGGCATGCTCTCAAAGTCAACATAGCGCCAGCTGTGCAGGTCACGTGACCGTGTCTATCTACCAGGTAAGTACAGCTTGTGTCTCATGTAGCGTTATAGGAGGGCATTCAATACTCTGCCTGACTCATCCGGCACTGCAGTCGACTGTCAGCATAAGAATGCCGTGTAATGGCGCAGCTATCTGAGCCTGTTTTCATCTGACACTTATGTACACACAACTGCCTCAGTGGCAACATGGCGGCGAGTACAGCCATGACTGTTTTATTCTTACATGTTTAATTTTCACATCCGATTTAATCAGCTGAATGGTATATTATATACTTACTTTTAATAATCATTGTGAGGTGCTCAGTGCTGTGAAATATAGAATCGACCGGCTCCGTGGTCTAGTGGTAGAGCGTATGCCCGTCGGGATTCGATCCCTGGCCGCGTCATACCAAAATACGTTAAAAGGTGGTACTTGTTGTTACCCTCTCTGGCGCTCGACATTAAGGGGCTAAAACAAAGACTGGTCGGCTCTGAGTCAGTATACTGTGTCTGAGTGGGGTATTCGTGTTAAACTGCGGCATGCTATCTCGGTGTGATAGCACTATAAATCGGCATCAGCCCGGACTAGTACAAGCAGCCACACACACACACACACACACACACACACACACACACACACGCATATGCATGCACGTGGCTATATAAGTGCAATAATCTTGGACGCGACGTTAAACCCCATTTCACCTCCCCACACCTTATCAGGTGAATCAGGTCCCCCTTCCTTGCCAGACAACTATAATTAAGGGCGTTGAAACTATCATCGTTTGCTTGTATGTCACAAGGCGATTAAAATTATGTTGCAGTAATCTGTCTCATTATGTCAGATCCAAATATAATTTAAATTATCGTGCTTATTATGACGATGGTGATAAGAACAGTGATAATCATATTATGTCAGCCCTACACTGGATGGCACAGCTGATCTCCCCAGCTGGTACAAAGCAGTACGGAATGATTGAGTGAGCAGGGTTTCCGCGCTTTAAGCAATATTCCAGCAATGGGATCACCAGAAATATACTTCACGCATTGCACCCATGTGGAGAGTCGAACACGGACCTTCGGTGTGACGAGCGAGCGCTTTATCCACAAGGCTGTCCCGCCGCATCTCTTAGCACTAAGACGACCTAATTAAGACGGGCGCGCCGCTAAGCTAAGTTTGTGAACGAGGCCCTTCACACATGCAGGTACCCTGTTTCTTGTTGCGGAAAAAACAAACACTTCTATTTTAATACCCTTTCCAATAAAAATACCCCTGCGTTTTCTCTCTGTGTGTTAAATAAGAATGCCCTTTCTATTCAACAGCGACCTCCGCCCACGCAAAGGGAGACAGGCAGGAGAGTTTTACAACCTGTGTCAACAGACACAGACGCTTTTTGAAACCCAATTGAATTAACCTGAATTTTCAACATTTGTTAACTGCCTCCGATGCGATTTTTGAATACTTGAAAGTTTAGTATGCCTTGAGTGTATTGTGTTTGAATAGAGTGATTAACACACTAAATGCTATGACCTTATCAGTGTAGGTTTCCTAGAAAAAAAACGACCATGCAGCACGGCGGGGTAACGCGGGCGTTGTTATCGGTTCAGACGCAGGGTGTGAACAGTACTGTTGAGTATGGAGGTCATTCAGTAACGTCACTTCTGTGACGACGTAACAGAGGAACACTGCGACATTTCGACATCACCAAACCCACTAGGGCAGGACTCTACCGATTCATCGCGATACACTACATTACGATTTACCTCGCCGCAAAGTCATGTATCGACAGAAACGTATTTGCAAATACCGAAACCCCGTCAATCCGGAAATATAACGTTCTCAATGAAATTGTTCGGATAAAACAAAACTATGCTTATAAAGATGCCTCGTTGTATACAGGTTAACGTTCTGTTATCAGCCGAAAGGCAGGATGTCCGGATTAGCGGGGGTGTCCGGAAGGCGGAATGTCCAGATTAGCGGAATGTACGGATTGGCGCGATCTCAATGAGTTTTCAATGTAGGTGTAAAGGGAATCTTTTCGTTCTTTTAAAAATAACTGTCAAAACCATTTTTATACACAAAATTTTCAAGTTTCGTAGACTTCTGTTTTTGATTTTTGTTAACCGAGTACGATTTCTTTACATGACCGTTACCATGTTTTGTGTATCGCGCGACCATCTACATACGCCATAGTGTACACGACTACAGAGTCGAACAGCTGGTAACTTTCATATTCAGTACTTCGAGACAACCGCGTTCGATACAACGAGAGTCGATGAATGTCGATGAGATCACTTTATTTCCACTATATTACTTGAACTCCATAAATCACACCAGCCTTATAAGTAGGAAAATGAATATGTTAAATTCAACAGCTTATAATGCGACTACATTTCCATTAACTTAAAAAGCTGTATATCATAAATATTTAAACTAGACGCACTATATTCCACATCGCCACGAGATCAAGACCGTATGTACAAAGCCGAGACAATTTCGCACATGTATCACTACGCTAAACACTGTCGCTGACCTAGCTAGCTAGCTATACATGTCATAGCACTTCATAGTCATGCTGGGTAGTTTCTGGCAAAAATGTGCATAGGTGAATATAGCAGAATACACGCCGAGCAAGACCCATCTGACTGACATATGTCGCCTCATAAATAAATCATTATGGCTCAGTGATAACTTATCAATTACCGTGATCACACACTGGGCATAGATATCCTCGTACATTGCAAGTATATATATTAAGAAAATTACATATGCAGAGTTGTCGTTCTTGCACTCGATGTGTATTCTGCGAGGATTAGGTAATATCATAATATTATGTGGTGACGGTAAATTATTATACACAACTATTAAAATATACAACTCATCAGCACCATACAGGCCCCAGACCACCCTAATTACATCCTGAAAGACACGTGGGTATACAGTTGCTATAGCAACGGGGCCAGATCCAAACTCAGTTATCTCCCTTGGCGGAAGTGGGACCCATCTTATCTTGCTCAATGTACAAAGCATGGTTGATGTGTACAAGAAACGGGTCGTATTGCTGAGAAATGTGTGTAGAAAAAAGCCAACATTTACAGTGGTGAAGACACAGCTTAGTTGAGTATATCAAGGTGTGGGAATTTTGAAATATGTAGAAATAAGACAATTTACGACTTCGATTGGTGCCTGAGACAAAAACACAAATACTAGATCTAGTATATGACGGACCACAATGTAAAATTCATCACAATCTTAATATCAAGGCATTGAACTGGCAAGTGTTACAATGGACCCTTAGAGGAGCAATTTATGACCAACTGTACCCGTAAAACTATTAAAAAAATCACGAAAATATCATTATGATAAATCCATCCTCAAAACCAGGTGCATGTGCATCTATATTCCGAAACTCGTTGACACCGCGGTATATTGAGGTGGTAAAATATGGAGGGAGACATTCTCGGATCATCCCAGTTAACACGTTGACGGTATCCTTAACTTTCCCTGCCATTGCTTGTCAACACCGCATTCACGTCTGAGTGAACAGAATGGGGGGTGTGTGTGTGTGTGTGTGGTGTGTGTGTGTGTGGTGTGTGTGTGTTCTCTTTTAATAATAATAAAAATAATAATAATAATAATAATAATTTGTTTAGCGTAAAGTAACATCTAGGTAGTCCATTTCACTTGCCAGGAACCACGCTCCTTTAAATCAAGAATTACGGTAAGAAGTAGCAACGTTTACTGACAACATCCTCTACACCGTGCCGCCCACGTTGTTGCCGGGAGCAGAATCGACGGATGGCTACACTACTAATCCATACCGTACTGTCACGATTTACTCCTTTCCGAAAAAAATAAGTTAAATGATTATTTCAGCGAGTGGTAAGGAAATTGTTGTTTTGTGAGCGCTAAGTGTAGAATCGGAAACCGTACAGGAAACATGACTCATTGCAGGCATTCAATAGTCAATATAGGTACTAGCTAACAATAACACCATATGTTCCAATCGAACATGCTACATATGGCAGTATGCCAAGGTCACAGCAGTACAGTACAGGTAGAATTCAGGTGATTTAAGTCAGATAAACCGGGTGAGCGTTACGGTGAGAGTTGATGGAGTACCCCACATTATGCTTAGACAAAAGAGGTTCCGGGACACACTCTGATAGCATGATGAAAGAACGGAAGTATCGATGATGTTAAACTTGCATATGAAATAGAGAATGTTTGGCCCATTTCCGTTCGGTGTATGTACACATTATGACCCGCGAAGCTGACAACAGTGATGTGTCACCAACAACGGGCACCTTGTTACATAAGGTAAAACAACCTGACTCAGCAAATCATCACCTTCTGTCAAACCAGCATATACAACAATCTAGTAAAATGGACATTTTGCCATACTAAGAAACGTTAACAGTCACACACTCCATTCTAGTGGGCGACGAACAAAATCTTGTTTTAAAGAATAAACTATGTTCCATTAATATGACAAATAGACTATTTCTAAGAATATACTACGCACAAAGATGTCGCTTTGACTACAGTCACGTGGTGGTCGATACACAACCTGACCTGTCTGCTTGGTCGTCTTGTCTTGTTTCTATCCTCCGAGAGTGACCTGTTGTTATTGCCAGAAAGTAATTTCAATGAAAGGCCTTGTCACAAATCACAGTCGTCTATAACTCTCCGTCACTCTATTCAGACTTGTTTGCCATGAAGTCAAAATTGACTCTCTAATCTGTCCGTGGTGAATAGCTCCCATAAACACCGAAATAACTTTAACATAGATCACGGACAGATCCGTGGGCACTTGGGCAAAGCGTTTCTCGGGTGACCTCGGGTAACCCAGGTCAATCACATACATGTATATGCCATTCCACTGCATGGCATTGACATTATCGTTATACATCCATGAACTTGTAAACCACCTAGGTCACTACGTGCCCTATTATATACATCGCACCCAATCACTATGACGTCACTTAAATACATCGCACACAATCACTATGACGTCACTAATCTCCCTGAAGGTATGGTCCGGGCAGAATCGAAGCGGTTATAGGGGTAACTACTCCTCGTTACCCCTGCTGTCTCCTGTTGTGCCTGCCAGGTCAAAGGTCCTATCGGGCACTGTCAAGGTCACACAAGGAAAGGTCGGGCAAACACAATTTCGAAAACTACAGATGCAAGGCAGTGGTCATTCGACTTCATCATTATGTTATAGCTGCACCATTAACACAGGACAGTGCTGTTGGAGATGCAAGAACGGTGATTATGCTTTGTACAGAACACGGACATCACTTGGGATGGAATGAGAGGTCAGAGTTGGCGACGGAGGGAGGCGGATTCCTGATAGTTACTGCAGACGCAATGATGACGTGCCACATACTAACTGTACCGCTTCACGGGCACGACGTCGACGACAACTTAAACACCATCATGCACCACAGTGAAATCCATCAATACCGTTCTCCATTAGATTGAATCTATACAAATGCCACGCTGTATGGTGTCCCAGGAAATGTTGGCCCTGCTAACATTCCGTGGTTACATTACTTACAGCCTGCTACTGTTAAGGTTGCCATTAATTTCATCATCATCATCATCGTCATCATCACTGATTATTATCCAAGAGGTGTCAAGAATGCAGGTTGAACAAATGCACGTCATTACTGTTTATGACCTTCATACAGCCGAAGATTGTGTACATTTACGTACACACAGTGACACTGACACACGTTTGACGTCACACGCATATTACTACTGACTCTTGGTGCATAAACACAGTTAAATCCAAGCTTGTAACTACATTTTCCATTTACACTGGCAGAATTTCACTCAATAAACAATAGCAGGAATCCAGAACATCCTAGCAAGATCTTCCTCCACCGACAGTACTTGCACAACCTGTCGTCGCCTATCAAGGCTGACGAGGCAGTCGCCATGTTATTATAATATACACATATATACACTTGGTTCAATCACACCATCCAATAGAATTATCAGAACTGCAAATGGGAAGTTTGTTATAAATTATACTATGTACAATCGTTCACATAGACTTGCTTCAAGTACACCTTATCTACAAGCGTTCACAATCAGTGTAGTTAATCCTTTCATAGACTTGCTTCACGTCCACGTTACACAAGCGTTCACAAATGAATGTAGTTAATCCTTCCATAGACTTGCTTCACGTCCACGTTATTTACACAACGGTTTCATCCAGGTCCATCTCGACCTCATTGCTTTCCTGGACGTGGTACAACTTGCCAGTGTCTCGGATTTGTTTGGTCGCCATGTTGACGAGGTCCTTCTCCTGCTGCTTCACCATCCGCTCGACTCGCTGCACCGTATCATTGAAGTCGAACTGGTCCGCGCGTTCCCTGATGGTGATGGTGTGGTCGACCTCGATGACGTTCTTGCCCTTCAGGGCCATGACTGGGGCGGCGTTCTTTGCAATCAGCTTCCCGACCTCCGCCAAGCAGGACTGAGGCTTGGATATTGCATCGGTGTCCGAGATGTACTGTAGCTCCGGGAAGTTGTTGGTCTCACGGAGCTCCTTGTATGAGCAGGGCACACAGACACAGGCACTGTTCACCTTCGTGAAGAATGTCGTCTGCATCTTCCCCTGGGCCAGACGATAGAAGTAGGACGCTATTCTGCTAGGCCGTTCGTGATTCAAGGACAGCTGATTGAATTCTTGGATGACCTTGAGCGTTCCGTGATCCTCCCCACAAAGGTCACACTGGGTGCTGGTGTAGGTCATCCCAAGGCTCCGACTCTGAACGCTCTCGCTCTTCAAATGCCTCAAGTTGTTATTCACCCCGTTAAACTTCTTAACGATTTCGTCAAAGTTGGTCAACAAAGAGATACTCGCATCTTGTTCGCTGTCGTACGCCGAAGAGGAGGCCACAGAAGACATAGATGTACTCGGCGTCATGGACGACAACGGGGACATGGGCGACAGCGGGGACATGGGCGACATCGGTGACGGTGGCACGCTCCCATAGTCAAACCTCATGAAGCAGATAGGACACCTCAAACTGGTATACCGTCTGGCCATGTGTTTCCGCAGGCAGTGGTGGCAGAGAATATGTCCGCACGGGAAAGTGTCGGGGGCTTTGCTCACCTGGACGGTCTTAGAGTAGTCCGTGGTGTTATTATTGTTATTATTCTCCTTATATTTGGCCGCATCGAACAGTTGGACCGGACTCTCCGGCTCATACATGAACGTGGGTTGATACGTAGAGGCCCCACCCCCATTCGTCTCGGAGGCGTCGTACAGCTTGACGGGACGGCCCGCCATGACGTTGGCGTGAGTGTCACACACACATAAAACTACACACCTGCACGGATGTCTCGCATCTCCGACGCAACATCAGGCGAAATCAGGAACTACCTTTCAGTGCTTTAGTAACGGAGTTCCACAGAAATGTCACATATATTCCTCTCCGAAGATGTCTCGCGTGTTTTGTCACTTGGCGGGAAAAAGCAGACGTATTTTCTCCCTCTCCGCCCTTGTCAGTGTCTGCACGGATTTCAATGGCGCTGCACTGCACTGGGTTCTGAAAGGAAACGAAAAGTATTTAGTGAACCTGCCAAGAGGGTGTAGCACATAAAGGATTTATTCTCCACAATGAATGGAAGCAGTGAAAGGTGGCACAGTTGAAATTTGCACGTCAGTTAAAGAAGTCGCCCACCCGACCCTCCTCCCGGTGTAAATATTAATACAACACACACAGCTCCTGTCGGGGACAGCTAGTCAATACACAGACACATGTCCAGAATACTGAGTGACTAAATCTGAAGTTTGTAACACTGAGAACCTGGCATCAAGGGGGATTAAAAAGCTCTACTTCCAATATAACTTTGAAGATCGGAATGAATTATTCGTGGTGAAACCAGGATACTTATAATTAGCCTGATGTCGGGTGTTGGGTAAGCAAGAGAGGAGATCTTCATTGTAACTTAGAGTGTCACGTCACGGGTATTGCTATACAAGAACGTCTGTATCATGATGACAGCGGGTTTCATCTACTTCAGATGACGTTGTCGTGGACGTTGCTTGTCGTTAACGCAGTCTTTAGTGGTAACAAGGGTCGGGCTAGTTTGCAGTAAATTTTAGTCCCCCGTTTTCAAACACGTTTATTGTTTGCAACTTCAAACTTCAGGAATACCAATCTAACACTTTTACCTTAATCGTAGAGACAATGTCTCAGTGTGACACAAGTCAGTAATTACACGGACCTAGACTGGATATGTTGTCAGGACCCGACCACCGTCTCCCTCAAGGTACACTGTAGCTGTATCCTGCATGGTGTTAAAGGAGAGCGACTGCACAGAAGCAACACGTGGTAAATGACTTTAATAGAATCACAGAGTATGGGCATGGTGTGGACAAAATAATGGTCATAATTAGGGTCACCTGTCCCTGAAATATATGCAAATGACCCCTGGCCTTGTTTCGTAAACCCATACATGTGTACATCAATCGGAGACCCTGGGGCATCTTCATACTACTGTTCCAGCTACAGGGGAGAGAGGGGAGGGGAGGGGGGGGGGGGGGGGGGGGGGGGGGCAAATGGGCTTTACGCGTTAACCATGTGGAGAAACACATCCATGTCCTCGTGGTGATGAGGGAACACTTTCACCAGTAGGCCATCCCACCGCCCCAATTAATCTGGACATAGTTATAGAAGGATGCTGCTGTGAACAACGAACTTAGTGGACATAGGATCAAAACCAGCATTAAATATATTGAGTACCAAAAGTTTTATATGCTAAGATAATAATTTCAGATTTTGCAATCCTACATCCATCTAGTTGAGTGTGTGAGTACGGTTTTACGTCGCATTTAGCAATATTCCTGCAATATCACGGCGGGGGACACCAGAAATGGACTTTACACTTTGTACCCATGTCGGGAATCGAACCCAGGTCTTCGGCATGACGAGATAACGCTTTAACCACTAGGCTAAGAACGTTATGAAATCGTATGCTGATCTAGACACTCTAACCAGGTCTTTGAGACAGACGAGGAAGCGCCTTAAGCAGTGGCCTTCCCACGTGCAGGAGGCAGCCAAGTGGTAGGGGGATAGTGTGTGTGTGTGGTGTGTGTGTGTGGCAAGTGCATACTCTTTTCAACGTGATCAAAATAGTCCTCAATACAAAAAGAGAAAAAATATGATTGATCACTGAATGATCAGTGGAACATGAGGCTGTGTTTGTGCTTACAGTAGCGTTGCTATAGGGGATCTGTGCGCATGAATACATCAACATTTCTTCCTGGGTATAGAAGTGTTATGGTGATTAAGAATCAGACGCGCCAATACATTCTACATTCACCAAAGCCGGGTTATTGTTCCCGCTATTAGGTAAGTTACTCAGTTTCCACTGAAGGAAATGCAGTGTTCAGCGACGCTTTAAAGTGCAACGATGTCAAGCACAACTTCAAACGGGAGGATTCAGAAGACTGGTATAATGTTTAATGTACACTTGAAAACGTCTTTCAATAACAACAGCTCTGCTCACATGTTCAGCGTGACAGTTCCGGTTCCCTGCTTCGAGGTGCCTGGCGCAGTTCTTATACAACGCGAGAAGATCCGGGGTAGAATAAGTCTTCAGCAACCCATGCTTGCCGCTAAAGGCGGCCATGCTTGTCGTAAGAGGCGACTAACGGTATCGGGTGGTCAGGCTCGCCGACTTCGTTAATGCATGTCGTCGTATCCCATTTACAAGGATCGATGTTTATGATGACAAAGAAACAAAGAAACAAACTGCTCGCATGTTCAACGTAACAGCTCCAGTTCTCTGCTTCGAGGCGCCTGGCGCAGTTCTTATACCTTACCCTGCTGGCAACAAATCACTCCTAGATAACAACCTACACACACAAACCTATGGGGACAGGTGCCAGGCACAAAGTTTGGTCAAGTCATTTCAAACCTTAACCCTTTGTTGGCAACACCTGTAATGATGCTTGACAACGGTACAAGGATCTTTACCGAAACGTCACCCTAACAATATTGAAGACGTTGTTATCCATCACTTGTGTCTGCTTTGTCATCCGTCAACTTCTAAGTAATGCCTAGCAAACAATTCATGTAATGATGCATATCAATAATGGTTATCAAACATAGCAGTAGCAAGTCTTTCAAATGCATTTGGAAGTGATACACATAAAAAAGAAAATGTATGGATGACACTTCTTTACTATGAGGACCACAACGTTTCACCATAATAAAGAAGTTTACATCCATATATTCTCTTCCTGAAACATAACAGTAATTACAAACTCTTCACCAGACCGTGTCCCACCACCCACCATTAAGAACGTTTAGTAGTTCACGTACAGGAACAATTGTTTTCGCTTGACCTCAACCATTTATTCCAGCGTGTATCGAGGGAATTAAACAATTCCTAATCCCGTCAGAAACAAATTGATCCGTGTAAACTCGCGTTAATCCGAGCGTTGCCTCTTGAGGCTTGATCTGGCATTGTCGTGGTGTAAGCTGCACTCTTACTGCTGCAACAAACGTATGGCCTTGTGTTCAAACGTGAAGCATGTACAGGGGCAACGCGAGTGAATCTTGAATGCTGGGTGGGTGAAAGTGTGGAGGTTGTATGCTGGGTGGGTGAAAGGGAGGAGGTTGTATGCTGGGTGGGTGAAAGGGTGGAGGTTGTATGCTGGGTGGGTGGAGGGGAGGAGGTTGTATGCTGGGTGGGTGAAAGGGTGGAGGTTGTATGCTGGGTGGGTGGAGGGGAGGAGGTTGTATGCTGGGTGGGTGAAAGTGTGGAGGTTGTATGCTGGGTGGGTGAAAGGGAGGAGGTTGTATGCTGGGTGGGTGAAAGGGTGGAGGTTGTGTGCTGGGTGGGTGGAGGGGAGGAGGTTGTATGCTGGGTGGGTGAAAGGGTGGAGGTTGTATGCTGGGTGGGTGGAGGGGAGGAGGTTGTATGCTGGGTGGGTGAAAGGGTGGAGGTTGTATGCTGGGTGGGTGGAGGGGAGGAGGTTGTATGCTGGGTGGGTGAAAGGGTGGAGGTTGTATGCTGGGTGGGTGGAGGGGAGGAGGTTGTATGCTGGGTGGGTGAAAGGGTGGAGGTTGTATGCTGGGTGGGTGAAAGGGTGGAGGTTGTATGCTGGGTGGGTGAAAGGGTGGAGGTTGTGTGCTGGGTGGGTGGAGGGGAGGAGGTTGTATGCTGGGTGGGTGAAAGGGTGGAGGTTGTGGCTATCCTTGATGGGTACGTGAATTTTCAGTTACAACAAACACCTGGCACTGTTCAAACATTCGACATAGCCACACGCATAACGGGGGAATCTTAAATACTGGGTGTGGTGGAGGGGAGGAGGTTGTGGCTATCCTTGATGGGTACGTGAACTTTCAGTTGACACTGTGTTCAAACATTCGACATAGCCACAAGCATAACAGATGAATCTTGAATGCAGGGTGGATATAAAGATAGTATTCATTATACTATTAACCTACAATAAAGCGAATAACACTGTAATGTGTTTGATTATGAGGGCGATATTTTTACTCCCGGTACTTCTTCCCAACGGCAGGTGATTTAGTACTGAGTTTATGAAGGCAGGGGATAGCTTGTCGACTGATCAAAGAAGAGCATTCCGCCCTTGCTACACAATTACACGAACGTGCCAATAAACCCGGTAAAACAGTACAATAACCTTGTAGTCATGTGTAAGGTATGCAGTATGGGCGACATGCTATTCTCCGACGACAAAGCACAGTAAACACACATAACAGTCCTCAGGTGGATGTTGGAGGTGTACGCACGTGGGAGATCACGTATCAACATACACTACAGTACACTGGACTCTGTACACCACTAGAGGGCGCTGTGGACACCACTAGAGGACGCTGTGTAAACATGGCGGCCACCGACACACCACTGACTCACTCGTTACAATGGCTTGACGTAAAAGTGACCATTCAGTCGTAAGCGACGAGTGACCTTGCTTTTTCTCACTGTCAAATGTGAGAGACTGGACTGAGGAAAATAAATCAAGCTTTCATAACATCTCACGATAACAGAGTTGCTTTGAATTGATTTATGTTGTTCTGACTGAAACGTACATGAGCGTTTCTCTCCCACGTTGGATAATTCGTAATGAGAAGTATCAGGCAAAGATCGGCCGGACACTCAGATAAGGTCGAGATATACATCGAGGTTGTAGGAAGCCAACTGCTGTTGGTTGGTCGAGACTTGATACTCATACACGTTAGAACCACGTCCATCCATCACTGCCAGCCATTGTCTAGCTGGTTGTCGACAGGCCATGAAGGATGTGTACAGTTATTGAATTATGGCATGGGTGGTATCACTCATCTCAACACAAGAGCTGTTACAACACAATGCCTCTCAGATTCCCACGCCACAGTGAGTGAGTGAGTGAGTTCGGCGTAACGCGACTTTGAACAGTACCTAAGTTATTTAACGTGTCGACCCGGGTTAGAATAGGACTTCAGCAACCCATGCTTGCCGTAACAGGCGACAAAGCTTGTTTTAACAGTCGACAAAAGAGATCGGGTGATCAGGCTCGCTGACTTCG